ATGCAAGTACAGGGGTACAGCTTAACTTCTCGCTGTACTATATATATGTAGGTGCCACATGGTAGCCCTGGAAACAGAGTGGTCTTTTTAACAACAGCTGTTAGCGTAACATATCTGATAAAAAGTCATAAAACACAAAGCAATTGATAAGCTGCATAAAATGCATTTGATTATTGTAGTAATGGGATAGAGGAGGCACTAGAAGAATCGTCTCATGAACCTGAGCCAGAACTGGAATCTGAAACAAAAACCGAGGAGCTGAAAGCTGAAGTAGAAGAGAAGACCCTTGAGGAGCTAGAAGAGAAGTCTCCATCTCCACCTCCTGTAGAACCTGTTTCACTACCGCAAGAACCACCAAAGGTTAGTTAAAAAGCATATCTGTGCTTCTAGGTGCAGGTGGTAAACCAGGAGATTTGGTTTTGAAGTGAGACTTTTTGAGCTGCCAAACTGGTACCTCTTTTCAGTGTCATGCTGTGTGAACAGCTAGACTTGAAGCTTGAACTTGTAAAAATGCAAAGTTTCCCTAAAAAAGGGAAGAATATTATTTCTAAGTGCTGCTCAAGTCACCTATCGTAAATTTAATGCTCTGCTTGTAAACTGTGTGTGTGTGGTTTTATGCATGTGTAAACCTTAACATATTTTAAGAAAACACCTCAAGCTACCACCAACAAAAATCTCACACAATGGGAACCACTGCTCTTCCTTGAAAAAAAACGTGATGCATTGACACTTGCAAAATAGCTGGCAGTATAGGTTCGAAATCAATATGGGGGCACTGACTGTCTCCCTTAGATGCCTGATCTTTAAAACCACCGGGCACACCGTGCGTCATCTGGTATGGTTGCACTTGGGTAGTTTGAAAGAGATGGGAGGAACTGGTGAAAGCTGGAGAGAGGTCATTTTCTGGCTCCAGCATGTCTCCCGTATTTTTTTTCCAATCCTTTTTCTCTTTTCTGTTTTTACCTCTAACTTCTGGCATCTGTATTCTTCGTGCAGAAGACATTTCACACTACAGGGTTTTCAGTCCTAGGTTTGGTTACACCATGGAAAGCAGTGATCTGGGGATGCTGAGGGAAGTGGGCTCGCTCAAGTAGTGATAGTGAGCACAGCACACACTTGCTGCACGCTGCTGGAGTCCACAGACGGCTAGAACTGCAAATCCTTCTGTATCTTCGTTGTAATGCTTGCACGACAATTATTTAATAGTCAGATAAGAGCCGAAAGTGTATTTTCAGCAGACGAGTTTCCCTGTAGGAATGTCAGTGGTTTGCCATGATTAGTAGCCTAGGTTTGTTGCATTTCCTGCAGGCTTTCTCTTGGGCTTCAGTGACCAGTAAAAACCTGCCTCCTAGTGGTACTGTTTCTTCCTCTGGAATTCCACCCCATGTTAAAGCACCAGTCTCACAGGTAACCCATCTGTGAACACCTTGGATTGTCTCATTACTCTGCAAACTGCTTCAGTTTTTTACATTAACAGATCAATTTGTTTGACTTAAATTGCACAAATTAATTGTGTCTTAAATGTTAATGCACTCACCTTCTTGTCGCAAGCAAAGGCACGTACACGTAACAGGTGTAACTCTGGGTGATGGTGACGTTAAAATCTGTTCGTATGGAAACAGGAAATCACTACTGAAATTTTTTGACCTGTCTTAATGGGATGTGGTTTGGTTTACAAGGGAAAACAGAACAAAACTAAACTAAAAACCAACTCTCCACAAAATGGTAGTTTTCTAAAGTGTGTTTGAAAGGGGTGTTTCATGAGTGGAAGTGCCCCAGCAGTAAAAAGGGATAGCACCATTTCTGAGAGGGTGCAAGAATGCCTTGTAGGGCTAACATCTACAGAAACATGCTAGATTTCATTATCCATTTATAATTAACTTGTCACAGAACCCTGTACCAACTTATGACTGTGAGGAATGGAAGGATTCACATTTCCTTGCCGGGACAATGCTGTCTTCCCATTCCGAGGTTGACTGGGTGAGGAGGGGAGAGAGGAAGGATACTTTGTGACTGGGTGGTAGCTCATGTCCTGCACATGCCAAGCTGGTGCGAGACGGTCTGAGACTCTCAGTTCAGCTGCCTCCACCTGTGTAAAAATCCTCAAAATAGAACATGTGTCCCTTGAACTCTTCTACTGACACTGTGTGCCAAAGCTTCGTGTGTCATGGTAGCTCCCATCCAACCTTTTTAAAAGGCTGCAGGTTTCAGTAGAGCTTACTGCAGCTCTTGTTTTTGCACTGGTTTCTTCTCAGTTTTTTTCTGACAGACAGGACCCTGTCTGAGATTGCCCTTTGGCCAAATGCATGTAAACAAGGAAACAGGAAAAAGAAACAACAAAAGCCCACCACCTTCTATGGCGTTGCTTCTGGTCTGACAGGGCAGTCATGGAAATCAGATAATGGCTAGGTAATGAGCTGTGAAGCCGGTTTGTCTTCATCAGCATCAACAGGGCTTTGAGCATTTACATGGTGTTTGAGCCGTAAAAACGGTGGGTTTTTTTGGTACAGAATAAGTTTTCCTTATGCAAAACCAAAATTGGTTTTGATTTATTTGCAGTAGAGAGGGTGGGTTTTTGTAATATGACTGCAAAAATAATTTAACATTATCTGTACAAGAGACCAGAATATAGCTTATAGATGTCCCCTTAAACTCCGTTGTGTTGCCTCTGCAGCTTGTCATGCTTTTGGCCTTTTAGATTACCTTTATGTTCAAGTAATTCTGTGTGGAAATTTCTGAATGATACTGAAGTGGTAAGAATTTCAAGTTTCAGCTCTTCTGGAGACAGAATTAATCAGTTCTTAGCTTCTTTTCTCACACGTTTTTCAGACCTGGCATGCAGAAAGCTGGTGGAAAACGCACCTGAACAATTTCTGCACAGGTTACAGATCAGTAGAAGCTTTTTCCTGTTCTCTTGGAGCCAGTAAGGCCACATACTGTGCACGTAAAAGAGGGTGGTGGATTGCACTAGTAGGCCGGTGGCTCCTTTGGGGTGCTCTTCCAGCCAGCGTCAGTGATGTTACAAAGCAGCTGTTAACTGTCCTTGTCATTGCTTCCTCTGCATTGCTCCGGTTTTTTCCCCATCTTTTATCAAGTTAAAAATGCAGCCTCTGTAGTATTAACTCAGAACCCCTCAAAGGCCTGCACACATGCTCGTTTGGATATAAACCTGTTCAGTTCCTGTTTATCCCCAGCTGTGGAGCTAAAGGGGCTGTGTTTCTTGCTCTTTTTCTTCATGTGGGTGATTAGAAATCAGCTTGCCTACACTGATAAACTGGGCCTTCTCTTTGTAGCGTTTTCAGACATTCTGACCTGCTGCTGGCATTAACATATGAGCTGTCGCAGGAGTGTCGGAGGGGCGGAGGCAGGCAGGGTGCTCCCTGGCTCTTGTCTGCTGGCTTGCAAGTGGCCAGTTCAGGGGAAGATCTGGTGTAGATTCTGCATCCTCTCACCACTTCAAATCTGTTCAGACTCTGGGTAGACTCTTGTATAATCTCTAGCACCTTTGTGGAAGCAATTGATGCGTGCCTTTAGCGAGCTGTGTGGCCTACATTTACCTCAGGGACAGCGTGGTAGCTCTCTGAGGTATGCATCTAACCTAGCTACTGGAATTCTGGATGAGTTAATGTGGGGGGTTTTTGTTTCATTTCCTGTGAAGCATGGTTTCTTACTTGTTTGCTTGGCTAGTTGTTTCTTTTCAGGCATGCATTTTGAGTGTGGCAGGCACCTCACTCTAAAGAAACTTCTAAGCCATGTAAGATTTCAAAAATAGAATTGTACCAGCCTTTGGAGGCACCTCTTCTCTTGCTCTTTCTGTCCCATCCTCTGTTTCAGGGGGGTATTCAGTTCCAAAGTGGGTGAGTAGAGGCTGAGTTGTGGCTGGTTTTGCTGTTGTTGGCAGTGGCATTGCCATAGCAGAAAAAGGTCCCTTTCCTTCCCCGTGTGAGCTCCTGAAGATAAGAGACAGTGCCACCTTTTCCTCAATTGTTCTCAAGGCTCTGTTAGGCTGAGGTTTGTGGCAGACTTGTCTCCTGGGCTGAGCACTCCTTTAGTCGTCGTCTGTTGGAATCAGTGTTCGGTGCCTTCTGGTCCTCTTTGTGTGCTCTCTGTGAAAGAAGAGTTGCGATTAGCTGCTGCCTGGGCTGTAAATGGCAGCCCTTAACGAGCATCTTGGGGTGCTGCTAGTAATTGCAGTGATTTGGGGGAGCACAGTTTGGCACAAGCGCTTTCCTCTTCAGGCAGCGCCAGAGAGCACTGAGGCAGCCTTCCTTTGTGAAAAGGGATTAGGAAGCAACTAGTGAGATGAGCTGCTTGGTGTTTGGGTAGACAGAGAGTATTTGTGTGGTAGGTGAGATGTTCAGTGAAATGCAAAGCAAGTGGGTAAAAGTTAACTGTTGTGCGGGATTTAATGGAAGGACATCAGCGGCCTAGCAGGCCTGTGCTCTGACTGACAGGAGGACTGAGGGGTTAAGCCTCATGGCTGTAAGTATCTAAGAAATGGGGCTCTGAATGTATTGAGCTTCACGTTTGAGGTAGAATTTGTAATGCAGTAAAGATGTGTGAGTGAAAGGTGGCAGGGGAGCTCCAGTGACCCGTGAGGAGGTATAATGAAAAGAGGTTTAACAGGAAAGCTGATTTTTGTAGCTTGTACTTGGAACTGAGAAAATGATACTAGAAATGTTGGAAGGACAAGCTAATGCCTAGCTGAGTAGGCACGAATGATAGAGGGCTGAAACGTTTCTTCGGTGTGTCATACCCACATGGTTCATGTAAACGACAGTCTTTATACCCCTGTGAGGTGTTCTCTGGCTGGAACCGTCAGTTGTCTTGAGTCCTTAAAGGAAAATAAGGGAGATGTTTAACAAAACTACTTCTCTGCAGAGGTCTGGGCCTATAGCCGTTGTCCTTGAGTTTAATCTTCCTTGGAGGCTAACGTTCTTCCTTATGCTCCTCAGGATGATTTTGGTTTTCTAAGATAAGAACCCAGCAGAGCAGCAGCTGCTGGACTGTTGTATTCAAAACAGAATTTAAAAGATGTTGGAAATTGCTTCAGTAACAGGCATGCTGCAGAGCCATATTTTTTTATTGTTCTGTCTGCTTTTCTCAAATTATCTTTAAAAGCATTTTTTGCTGGCAAAAAATGGAGTAGGTGTTCTTGTTCCTGAGAATATGAAGGGTGTACTTGGAGTATCATGGTCTCGACTCAGGGAAGTTGAGGAATATCCTCAGCAGGCAGCCTGTAGAAATTGTCATTTCAGGTGGCTTTACTGTATCAGAAATACTTTCTGCACTTTTGAGGGCTTTTGTTTTGTTCTCCTCCTCCTTTTTGTTAGTTTCCTCATAGTTGTTCTGCACTCGTGGAAGAGAATCCCTCAGGGACTCAGACAGAAAATGTAATTTGCCCGTTTCTTCCTGTTCCTCTCGGACTACCTCCTAGTTCATGAAGTGTGAGCTTGGCACAAGGAAGGTTGCTTTCATCTGTGTGGGGATTTTAGTCAGGTTAAGGGATTCTTGAATGACAGAGTGTCGGGGTCTCAAGGCCTGGTCAAACATGGAAAATTCATCTTAGCCATGTTTTGGGGAGACGCTCTGATCAGGGGATGTTTGCTTTGCACCATTTAGCAGAGATAACTGAACACTGCAGTCCTGGATTGGTACAGAGGAATTTATAGAGGTGAAAAAAATGTATTCCCAAACACATTGACATGGAGGTATATCTTCTGGAGTTCGTTTTGTGCATGCCACTTACCTATGTCTTGTGTTGTGGGGTTTTTCTGTTTTGGTGAGTTTGGGGGTTTTGGGGTTTTTTACCGGGCTGGTGTTTAATGCTGCATGTTCTCCTCCTGTTTTAGCCAAGAGTTGAAACTAAACCTGAAGCTCAGTCTCAGCCTCCTCGTGTACGTGAACAGCGTCCCAGGGAAAGACCGGGTTTTCCGCCCCGAGGACCTCGGCCAGGTAACGTGGATCAGCTTGTGTGTCTGCTTGGGACTAGTTCATGGGAGGTGTCTCCTTGAAGGCTCTTGTCTGTACCTGTGTTGTATTTGGCTGATAACAACTGTCTGTTCCTACTGCCTTCGGCCAGAAATGGGGGAATATCGTGTGGAGTCCAAGCTGGTGACGAGTTGTTGCAAAGATCAGGCATTATTTCCAAGCTTCTGTTCTGTTGAAATGTTTTTTAATAGTCAGGCCACTCGCTTATATGCTTGAGTAATTTTGTGTGGCTTGATGCAGTTCTGAAAAGCTGGTATGGAAATCCGATGTTTTTTTCCACGTCCTCTAGTTTTGCTGAACCTTGGAAGTGAGAGCTCTTACATGCCTACTGTCACTCTTTGTTTTGGAAGAAAACCTTCTCACTGTGTCAGCCTCACTTAATAATGTTATACATGTTTGTCCATCTTGTGTAGTTGGATCCTATACCATTTCAGTTTGGCTGCCTCATGTTTCTCTTAGTTTATGAGCAGCCAGCTCTCCGTGATTTCTTACTCGTACAGAGTATCCGAGTCTGTAGGATGGTCTGCTCAAAAACATGCATGTTACTTGACAGTCATCAGAAGTGGTGTTCAGAGAGGTGAAAGCCTTCCGAGTTGCTTTCGTCAGGCCAGCCTGGTCGCTTGGCAAAGCTCTGCATAGCGCTGGGCAAAAGCTATCTAGCCAAAGGCCCGGAGTTACGGGATGTTGATCAGTTCATCATCTTCCCAAAGTGTGAAAATAAGTCAGGAGCTCCAATGGGAGGGGCAGTATCTGCGATTATCCTGACGTGGGAGTGTAAAGCTGGCTGGAGCTGGCAGAGCACCGCCTGCAGAAGCGCTTAGGCCCCAGCAGCTGTGAGCCGCTCCGCCACCTCCAGCTACAATTGGTTCTGCTGAAGGGTTTCAGTAAGTGCCTGCCAAACTGCGGTACCGGTTGGGCGTAAAAGTGCTTTTGGCTGTGATCCATGCACGTACATACATCTTCACTCGGGAACACCACTGAAACGGAAAGGATTTAAGGCACCAAGAGAGAACCATGACATCTGTTACAGGTTAACATTTCTTGGCTTTTTAACATGACACCTGAAGCAGGGAGCAAAAGCTGCAACTTGTGGCTAAATCACGTTGCAAATCTGCATTTCTGTTATTCTTGGTTTTTCTACAAGTCACGCAGAAAACGTGTAACAGAGCCTGAGTCTTTTCATTCTGAGCGTATGGCAGGGGAGAAAAAGCTGAAACCTCAGTTGACTGAATGGTAGAGCTTCAGCCCTACGGTCTTGCTTTCAAAGCCAGCCAGTGAGCTGTTTCATCCGCTTAAGGAAGCGTTTCACACGCGCTAGCAAGCTTGCTGTACATGGGCTTGTGGGGGAAGCTGAGGAGAGAAAGGGAAACGTACCTTCGCTGTAATCCTGGTGGTACAAAAGGGGTGCCAGCGTGCTGCTGTCACACTGCAAGGCAGGTCGTGGTTTAGGAGGGAGATATGGGAAGGATTTTATCTTGCGTGCTGCTAAGCGTGCTAATGCCGGAGAGAACATGAGGAACTCTCAGTTGTTTTGGGGACAAAATGGTGGAAGATGGAAGCCAGAAGAGGTGAGTGCAAACATTGGTTTTAATATGAGTACCAAAGCAAGGATACTGCTGTTGTGCTGAGGAACTGATGAAGAGGTCACTTAAATCCAAATCTTTTAAAAGGTACATTTTAATAGGTAGTGAGCAACTCTTCAGTGTCGCGATTTAAGATATAACAAGTGCCTCTTCAACCAACTTGCCCCATATGCCATATGTTTTAGTTAACATGGATTTATTTAACCTAACCAGGAAAACCAGATAAAAAGAAAACAGATTGTGGTGTTATTACAGAATTGTCAGGACTGTGTAAAGGGGAAGGCAGTATCCTCAGCACTGTGTCACCCACGATAAACGTAGGCTCAGGAGCTGAAGGTACAGAATTGTTTGAGTGCTGTTCGTAGATGCGTTCATCGTCTTCTAACCTCAGTGGCTCCACCTTCTTCTTTCTGTTGGTGATAGGGAGAGGGGACATTGAACAGAATGAGTCGGATAATCGTCGAATAATTCGCTACCCGGACAGCCACCAGCTCTTCGTTGGGAACTTGCCGCATGATATCGATGAGAGTGAACTGAAAGAGTTCTTCATGAGTAAGTAGCAATTTCAGCGGCAGAGACTAAGAAGAAAAACTGTCTTGAAAAGTCACGTCATGTTCACTTAGGGCCACACAGGAGAACTTTTACATGATGTGATGCTACGGGTGTTGTCTGGAAGAAGCGAAGGGGTGGTAGAGCTGGCATTATGGCTTTTGATAATGTGGCTTTTCCTTCATGTTTTCCCAGGCTTTGGAAATGTGGTAGAACTTCGCATAAATACTAAAGGAGTGGGAGGAAAACTGCCTAATTTTGGTTTCGTGGTATTTGACGATTCTGAGCCAGTCCAGCGAATTTTAGTTGCAAAAGTAAGTATTGGCATTGAATAGCCCTCAGAGGATGGACTGAATGCCCTAAACCCCCTGTAGTGTGAGCCCATCCCAGTTTGCGTTGCTGTTGTTCCTGGCATTCGAACAACAGTTGTAAGAAAACCACGTTTTTGGCATGCTCATTCTGTCAGGAGTGCTCTGTAGCTTACGAAAGCTGTGCCAGCGTTCCTCAAACCGCGTCGTACCGCTTTCAGGTTGTGTTACCTCCACACATAGACACCTCCTGGAGCTCGACCCTTACTTTTAGAGATCCTTTTAAGCTGAAGGTCGAGTACTACGTGACCTTTTGAAGGGCATCACAGGGATCTCTGAATTCTGCCTCCTGGGGCTGAGAAAAAGGAGCAAGGTTGTTTGCAGTTGTGAGTTGAGGAACTGGAGAGGAGAGAGCGGCAGTTTTCGTTCCTAGCATGTGGGACTGAGGCCTGGCAGAGCGGTTCTTCAGGAACTCGAGCCTTGAGGTGAAAAGGCTACAGCAGGAAGGGAGGAGGCTAAAGACAGCCCTCCCCTTTGCTTGGGAAAGGCATTTTGATTCCTTGCATGCCAGATGAATTCAAAAATGCTGTTCCATTTACTGCAGGCCTCTAGGGCTAAGGTCATGTGCTGCGGGGAACCGTTAATTTGTGTCTTCCGCACGTAAGCGAGGCTAGGCCGAGGCATGCAGCGAGCACAGCGTTGTATAAACGGGCTTTGTGAAATGGTGACTAACGTGTGCCTTGAACGCTTTTCCCTATAAGCCCATTATGTTCCGGGGTGAGGTGCGCTTGAACGTAGAAGAGAAAAAAACAAGAGCCGCTCGTGAAAGAGAGACCCGAGGTGGAGGCGATGATCGTAGGGATATTCGTCGCAATGATAGAGGCCCCGGGGGTCCCCGTGGAATAGTGGGTGGTGGCATGATGCGAGACCGTGACGGAAGAGGACCCCCTCCGAGAGGTGGCATGGCACAGAAACTTGGCTCTGGACGAGGAACCGGGCAAATGGAAGGCCGTTTCACCGGACAGCGTCGCTGACATCTCCACTGTGGGCAGACAGTCTCGGCAGTGGTACATTGTCCATCGTGTTTGCATTCTTGTTAATTTTTTTTGGCTTTGGAATGTGACACAGCCCTTCTGATCATTTCTTTGATGTGAAAGCATCCTTTGGTTTCCAGTTTAAATTGAGGTGGACGTTCTTCCCCCAGTTTCACAACAGGAGTCACACTGTTAATTTATAAATGTAGACTTGGAGAATTGAGGACTGAAAAAAAAAAAAAAAAAAGACCAAAAAAAAAAAAAAAGACCAGTTAACTATCTGCAACAAAAGCGAACTAAAGGACATGCCCAGTAGAATTCAGGTCCTTTCAGTCAAAAACCCTCTGCTGCACATTTTGTGTGAGTGTTCCTGTTTCTGCCTATTACTGTTGGAAACACAAATAGTGCGATTTGTGCAATTGGAGAAGCTTGCCTTTCTGTTGTCCTTCTTAGAACACTCGGCTCCAGACAAACTCGTGTTTACGCACTCATCAGAATGCACTAATGGGTACTCTGAACTCATTTGTATTGACATCTGCAGGAGGCATCGGAGGAAAAAATACCCTTCATCCTCTTACTCAGACAGGATAGCTTGTGAAACGATGCGGGCGTCTGGTCTGGTCTGCTTGCTGTGACCAGCCTACGTGCACACACAGACCTTGATAAGACTACGAGTTTGTTCCAGAAGGAATCCGTTTAGCTGTAAACTAAGCAAACCCAGCGTTTCAAAGTCGTAGCCCTGAGCACGCGACAAGTTTGATAGCTCATGTCAGGTTTTTCTATCTGCCCCTCGTCAGTACAGGGATGGCTGCTCAACACACTCCTCCTTCCCCTTTCCCCTCGATCAGCATTGTACAGTGAAATTTGTCTTGACTGTATTTGAGTTCTCTGGTAATGTAATAAGCATGATGGTGCCTTCTATGAATACATCATTCCAGTCTTGCTGGTGATTTTGTACAGTAGAGTGTATGAATTACTGTGCTCAGAGCCAATCGGCTGCGAAGCATTTAAAGGAAATCGTTGAAAAATTGTATTAAAAAAAATTGCAGTATCTTTCAATCAGTAAACGTTGCTAAAATGATCATCCACCTTGCTCGTCCATTAACAAGCTCGCCTGTTTTTTTGCAGAGGGGGGGAAGGGAGGAAGAAGGCATCCGAGTAGTCTCCAGGTTGTCTCTCCTCTTTAATCGGTGTCAAGGTTAAAGACAACGGAGCTGAGATCTCTTGGACGTGCGTTTCAGAAGTCAGTCAAGAACGGTGAACGCTTTTGTCCAGCTCATAGTTGGTAGACCTGAGCATCCTTTGTGAGGGTGAGCTTATCCAATGAGGATACTGCAATTTTCAGAGAACAAAACAGCAGCTCTTAAGTATTTGCATTTTCCAGTTGCACTTTTTAAAAAACTCTTACTCATTTTGCACATAACTCTCAGCTGAAGGTGACACTGACGTGGCTCCAGACAGAAGGATAGGAAGGAGACGCCCTCTTCCACGGTTTGGCTGGTGGGTGTTGCCGGAGGAGAGGTCCGGTTCTGGAAGACGCGCCGGAGCGTATTCCCCTGAGCTGCCACCATGGCAGGCAGCGCAGGCGGGCTCGAGGCTGGGGCGGTCAGCAAGCGCCCGGCTCCAAGGCGCCAGGCGTAAAAGGGGGGTGTTTGTGCGTGCGTCTGTGCAGAAGTGTGACCACTTAAAGCTGCTGCTGAGCACGGAAGACCTCAAATAACATAATTGCAATTTCAAGCAAAAGCAGACAGGGCATCGTACAGCAGTCCGTCTCTGGATTATGCAATCATTGGCGCTTTTTGAGTAGGTTGGAAGATTTTGCACGTATTTTTCTGATGCATTAGGCAAAACGAAGTGGCATCTGTCGGTTTTCTCGCAGACCTGAGGTCTTCTGTGTGTGATGGTAAGTCTTGCACTACTTTCATACACCTTTTTTCCAGGGCACATTTCTACCAGCTTCCGTTTTCATATTTCAGTTTTTCGTTGGAGGTCTCACGTTTCCAGCTGTTACCTGGAATTCTCTAGTACTTGAACTGCTCGCCACACACCACCGCTACGTAGGTCGGAAGCCTTCGGGCAGATTGCTGTCCTCAGCTAGCAGTTTGCCACTGGTGTGTTTTGTGTAGCCTTTTTTTTTTTTTTTCCTTTTGTAGTGCTGTGGCGTTTTGCTGCCACCTAACTCGTTTGTGTGGCACATGGCGCTGGGAATAGTCTCAACGACAAAAACCGGAGTATTAGAAAGAGCTACTGAGCCATTCTGCTTTCTGGCTTGCTTCTTGTTTAAGGGACACGGAACAACCATTGGAACGTCATCCAGAGAAGTTTACATGGTGATAGCTCACCTGCTGTACTGTGGACTCTTACGTGTTCTCGACCCTCGATAGTAACTGTACCTCTTAGGGCAAAGGAAGGGATTCGCTGACCATTACTGTTAGTTGCTGATTTGTGGATGGTGGGAGTATTTTGTCATTACGGTTCTATTTCAACCAACTTGGCTGACCATCTTGGCTTTAGTAAGTATACGAGGCAGTGGACTACCATCTTTATTGCTGTAACGTGTCAAGCATTATACGCTAGTAGATTCTAGTTTAATTGTTGCAGGTGGAAAGTACTTTTAAGTTTCCATTCTGAATGTGTTTTGACTAAACATACCAATAAACTACTGATGTCTGCAGCATTTATCCATGTCCCTAATTCTCTTGAACGCAGGTCGCTGTAGAGCACCGTTGCTTCCTTTGCCGCACAGAAAATGCTTGGTTAAGAGCGCTGTTGCTGCCTTGTCAGACGGCGGTGGGAAGCCGGGAGGAACATGAGCCGAGCTGTCTTAAACAACTCTGGAGTTGCTTCCTGTCAACTTCAGCGCCCCTTACTCTTGATACCGTGGTACCGACGGTGGTACTGTCAGATAACCCTTGGTGTTTCTCTTCTTGTGTTTGGTGGCATTGCCAGTGCCAGCACCTGCCCAGAAAGGCCGGTAAAAGGGTTGTTCTTGCACTGCTTGTGGATAGTTTGTGTCTGAGTCACAGAGTCTGTGCGGAGCTCTTCGCTCTGAGTGAAGTTCCTGGTAGGTGCTTTCTGCTGTGGCTTGAAGTCCTCCGCCGAGTGCGTGTCTTGGCTGCTAAGTGGCAGTTGGGAAGCATCTGAGACATTGTGCGGTCGTGTGAGTTGGAACACTGGGATGAAAAAATGAGATCCTGTGGAGGGCCCCCAGGGCCGAGTTGCCAAACCCTCCTCTGAGGAGCAGCCTCAACAGCGACAAGATCTGCTGGCGCCAAGGATCCCCGAAGAAGTGTGCTCCCCTCGATGCCGCCTCCTGAGGGCCTGCGGCATCCCCACCTTCACATTGCTGTATGAGGTAACTGTGAAGGCCTGCAAACTCATGTTCTGCTGGGCTGGGGAGCAGGGGAGGGGGCAGCAGTGGTAACGGTATGTGAAAGCAAACAGGGTCAGCCAGCGCCTAGTTACGCTTGTCCTGTGAGCTCTTGGGTATTTAAATTTGTTCGGGAGCACATTTTATCAGCACCTGAGCTGATGTTTAGGCTTTGTGAATGGCCGTGCGTCACAGTCAGCCTGTAGGTTTATTTCCCTTTGTGTGGTTGAAACGGAGCACGGTAAAAGTCGATCTGTGGGCTGGCCGTAGCGCCAGTGGGGGCTTTCAGTGGAGCAGAAAGAGGCAGGGCCGGGCGGCAGCTGAGGGGTGTCAGAGAGCAGCAGGTTCCATGCGGTGGTGGCCTCGCCTGTTCCCTTGGCTGTAACCGCCCGCAGCCAGCCCGCGTGGAGGCACCACCGTGAGCTTTCGTGGACGTGAGTTTAGAAAGGCCTTTGCAGTCATAGCGATTGCCGGGGCTTTGCATCTCATGGGCAGAAATGCAGCTTGGAAAAGCGGGTTTGTTGGATGTGATGGAAGAAGACAGCAGGCTGCCGGTGGTCCTTGGGGAAGCTGCTCTCGTGTCCATGCGTGGAATTTGGCTTCTCGCAAGGGGAAGCGAAACCGCTTGGGGTGTCAGCGCGCCTTTTGCGTGTTGTGACTGGTGTCTCCTGGGCTCGAGCTGCAATGAGGCACCTCAGTAACGGTGCTGCCCATGCAGCCTCTGCAGCACTTGCTGCTCCCACTGACATGGGGAACAGCATCAAGCACAGAGCGGGTGTGCGTGTGTATGAGTGGAAGTTGAGAAGAGCTCTTGCAGATGCTGACACGACAATTCTCTAGGCTGCCTTATTTCAGCACAGGTTTAATGCCAGACCTTTCCATAATCCTGACACCCTCAAGGCCCCCTGGAGGTAAGGGACAGGGACTAAACCTAGAGCTGGTAAAACAAGGCGCGACATGCAGGTGAGTTTTGGGCCCCGGCTGAGACCTCAATCGCCCTGTTGGGCCCTGCAGCCCTCGCAGCCAGCCCGTCCCGAGGTGCAGCTACTGCCACG